GACAATCCCCTCCCTCTGTTTTTCTGTGTGTGTATGTGCACATGTCTGAGCCCTCTTGCCAGAGGCAGAATCAGATATGAGTGGAACGCTGCGGGTTTGGGGAATAATGTACTTCACTGCCAATAAAACATGAATACACACATTCAGATCAGCCAACTTTTTGCACTGCCCCAGGTAACACACACACATACACACACATATATAGACTAACTGTACACATATGCATTGAACTACACAGCCAGACACACATACACACTAATGTGCACAGGAAGGCTGCAAGTTTCTCCTTGCATTGAAATCAGATGACAGGGTAGACAAAGAAATTGCAAGCGGGATGAAACTCGTTACTTTCCAAACAATGAAAAAAAGGACTGTAGATCATGAAAGGTAAAATTCATAGGCAGGGAAAATTCTGACAGTTTCACCTCAAGGGCTAAAGGGCGAGTGTTCTCATTGTTGGAGTGATTAATTTGTCTAATGTTAGAAGGGGATAAATATAAGTAGAATGAGATCAAAACAAAGAGGGAGGAAAAGGAGTCTTAATGCAACACAGACCCTTGAAGTGCTGTGGGAGGCAAAAAATGTTCTGAAAATAACATTTTTGTTTGCTGAGTGCAAACTCACAAAAAACACAAGTTCCAATTCTATAAAAGAATTGAAGCTGCACATCCAAAAACTGATCAGAGAAAATGAATATGAACAATGATGCATTTAAAAAAGAAAAGAAAGTCTCTTATCAAGTTTCTTCTTTACTTTTGGATGTTTCTTTTCTCCATTCTTCTGCAGAAGCCAAAAATAGTTCAAAGCAATCCATGCTTAATCCTTAACATAGTCTGTGTCTGTGCGCTTTTTAGCATGAATGCATGCATGCATTTGCAAATGTATTTTTAAATATAACATGTCTTGTAAAAATGTGATTTTCGTGTGCATGTACCTTCATCAGTCCAAATCTGAGCACAACTGGGAAGCAGTGACCAAGACAAAAACCAGACAACTGTCAGATACACAGGACTGGACAAAAGGCCTGGCATCTAGAAAGACAAAGACAAAAACAACATGAACAACAGCAGCAGCATTATCATCATTTTGAGTCCATTTTCTAGAAATAAACGGGTATGAAGAAAAATATTTCAGAGAAACAGCTTGAATTTCTCATTTCTTTTGGTCAATTTCCTCCCTATAGCTACTTCATACCAATATAAAATTGCACGTTGCAGGTAAACACATCACCAATGAAGCTGGACCTGCGTTTTCCTTAGTCCCACAAATTATATATCATGTGAAGTTCAAAAATGCAACTACAATCTAGTGAAATTGTTATCGCCAGTCTTTTTAAAATTAAAAACACATTTCCCACAAAAATAACATGGAAAAAATGTAGGGTATGATTTTTTCCTCCCTTTTGTTTCTGCTTGCTTAAGTTTTCCCAGAAACTCTGGCAAAAGTAAAGTTTTAGTTCCACTTGTGCTGGACAACGCATCCGTCTTCCAGTTTTGTACTGTAAATCACTTGAAGACAGTTCCTAATTCAAACAAGATGTGCACACAGTTAAGGTGGAGGCCAGCAGGGGAGATATAACAGTGCATTAGTTTAGCATTTGTGGTGAACAGGACATTTATGGAACAGACTTTTTATTGGCACATTATGCACCAACAAGACTTTAGGTCTACTACAAGACTAGCAGCTCTGTCAATCTCTGTTAAGGCACTGTACTAAGAATTGATAAGAAATAAATGCTAACATGCTGATGTTATGCGAATATCAAGTTCACCATAACCACTAACTCTGTGTAGTGTGTTAGCATGCTCCGATCTGAGCTGAACACAGTACAGCCGAGACCGATTTGGTATGCTTAGGGAACATTTTTACAAAATAGGCTATGGTTCAGACACTCTTAATTCAGTTTAATTCACTGGTAGTACTCTGGTGTGGCATTTTGATCAAGCTTCACATATGATAGCAAACTGAATGCAGTTTAACATTGTTAAAGCCCTCTATCTAATTAGCCTTAGCAGGTAAAATGTCTTCCTATTGGCCAGAAGGAATATATTAATGCCTATGTATTGCAGTACATAAAAATAAAAATAAAAGACATTAACAACACTCTCTGTTGTGAATAGTGTCATGGAGTTATAACAGTGTGATGTGATGCTTCTGGCATTTTTATCCTCAGGGGCAGGGCAGATTTACAACTGATAGCTACATTCATAACCGACACCCTAAAACACTGTGTATAGTTTTTCTGCGCAGGCGTTTCACCTTTTTTTCTTTGTGTCACACACGCAAACACTTTACTGTTTCCTTGTTTCATATTCTACTGTGTATTCCTGATCTGATTAAAGCTCAAAACATACTACTGACATCAGACACTCCTGTGTGTGTGAGAGGTAGAGAAAGAGACAGAAAGAGGGTCTAGGAATGTTATAAAAACTGAAAAACTAAGTACTATGTGTGTAAGGTACTAAGCTCAAAATCACACACCTGATGCCAAACACTCTCATTTCTGGTGCCACTTCTCTTTATAGAGCCACATGTGAGATATCCTCATTTCAGCACTTTGGATAACAGCTCTACAATGAGAGAGGGAGCGCAAAGGGCCATAAAATCATTTCATTATGTCATCGTTCCTGTTCAAACAGGATGTTACTAAAGCTGGGGTTGTAACACAGTGATGAATCAATGGTAAAAACCAAGTAGCCCAGATGCCAATTCATTCAAGTACAGGTCAAACACAGGCAAAAAAAACAAAAAAAAAAAACACTTGTGGCACATCAAAATCCTGCTCCTCCTGACCATCTTAAAATATATCCAACGTTTTCTGCAAGTGGGTGAGTCAGCAGTGTGTTCTGTGCATGTTTCATCAGGTTTGCTTTTCAGTTATGTGAAAAATACAGACAAGACTCAAATTGTATGATCCTAAGCTCTGCATGCAATGAAACACAAATACTCTAACACCTTCAAATATTTACAGATGTCAGAATTGAGCGACATATACCAAAAAAGAAATGGGGTGTAAAGACTAAATCTATAGGAAGTACTGCAAAGGAATAAAAATAAATATAAAAAATATGCACAAAAATCTGTACAATTAACCTATATTAAATATGTATATAGTATATTCAGGAGCTGCACAGTTTATAAAACAGGCTGACTCAGGTAGTGCAAATAGTTGTGTTAATGTAATGCATCATGTGAGAGCTTGTAATGACCATGGGGATGGGATGAAAGTTAGTGCTTGTTTATAACGATGGCAAGTAGTTTTGGTCTTGATGAACCATATCATATTGCCAGAAAAGAGATTTTCAAAAAGTTGCTCTACAGTGTGAGAAGTTGGCCACAGTCTTTCCCAGTCGCCTCAGGGTCCTGGAGTTGTGGAGGTCCTGGATGGCAGATCAGAATCAGCTTTATTGGCCAGGTGTGTTGGATGATACCAATGACCGTTGTGTCATCTGCAAACTTTAGGAGCTTGACAGAGGGGTCCTTTTCAAAATAAATCAGCACTAAAATGAAGCAAGTCGGAACTCCGTCTTCATTCAGATCTGTTCAATAAAAGAACTGGGGTATAACAGGACTATGGATGTGATGTTGATGAAGTGCTGTGGCCAGACCCAAGCAAGGCAGCATAATGTAGCCTTTTTTTACTGTTTTGATACTGTATATTGTGTTTGTAATGTCCGGGCTGATGGTGTTCAATGCCGAGCTGAAGTCCACAAAGAGGGTCCATGCATAGGTCTCTGGGGAGTCGAGGTGTTACAGGATGTAATGCAGTGCCATGTTGACTGCATCATCTACTGACCTGTTTGCCCAGTAGGCGAACTACAGGGGGTCCAGCAGGGGGTCAACAATGCCCTTCAGGTGGGCCAACACCAGTCTGTCAAAGGACTTCACAACTACATATGTCAGGGCGACAGGTCTGTAATCGTTCACTCTTGGGGACTGGGATGATGATGGAGCATTTGAAGCAGGAGGGGAATTCAAAGAGCTCCAGTGACCTGTTGAAGATAAGTGTGAAGATGGGGGCCAGCTGATCATCATACACTTTCAGGCAGGAGGGGGGGGGAACACCAACTGGACCTGGTGCCTTTCTGAGCTTTAGTTTTTTTAAAGAGACTTCAGGTGATTGCTCCCTAAGCAGAGTAAATGATACACTGCAGTTTGCCCCGGCAGTGAAGGCAGATGGTGATGGAACCGGTCTAGATGAACTAGATGACAGTGTCAAATGGCTCCATCACCGAGTGTGGCAGGTTGAACTGTGTGGTCATTCAAGTGTTTTGTTCATTCATACCAAATAATGATTATATCGTCATTACAATAAAATATGCAGATGCCCTCCCCATACTGTAAAACACATTCCAGATTAACCCAAACAATCAATGCAAAATATATTAAGGGTTAAATGTTGGTTAAGGGTTAATTTCAAGCTTTGAGCTTTATTTAAATACTGTACTAAAAGCCCCTAACAGGATTAGAGATCCTTCCTACTTTGCAAATGATCATGGTGTTTGAATTCAGAAACATTGTATCTTTTTTGTGTGTGAAGTGTTTAAGGAAAACCTTTAAAGATAATGGTTTGTCATTTGGGGACTTGTATGGTTGATTTGGAATGATTATTCACAGAAGCAGACAAGACATAAAATGTATGCCATAAACTGCATTATACCTTATTGGGTGGTATGAGATCAAAATGATCCCAAACTTTAGAACATCGCTTATTGGTGGTACTCGCCATGAACCTTGCCAAAATACTCTCACTCTCACTTTCCAAATCTCTATCTCCTCACAACCCCATTTTGAAGCATAATGATGCATCTTATATAGCTGGTATGGCACCAAACCACACAAATCTGTAAAACCTGTCAAGCTGTCATTGGCTCAGAATGCACTGAAACGCCATGAGCGTTGACACACACTGAAAGACTATGAGCCAATGAAAAGCTTCGAAACATTTTGAAGGAATGAAGCGCGAAGCGAAACAGCGACGACGTTCGAAGCTTCGAACGTCATCGGTCACGTGACACTGGTGTTTTGATACAAGCTCCGACACAGCGTTTCGAATCACTCCGCTTCAGGACAAGTGACACAAGCTCCAAAGCCTCGGTATCATTTGCCCATCACTAGTCCATCTGTTATATCACACCAATATTCCTGCTAAATAAATTATAAAATGTGTGATGCTACAGCTGATTCAAGGATGAAAAGTTTAAATGAGAATGTAGTTAGTTTTTCAGTGAACAAAAATTATTCAGCATGTCAAAGAAAAGTGTTCAACGGTATTTTAAAACTACTTACATATTTCTGAGGCTATTCATTATTATCCCACCTCCCAATCTGAACTGTTCAATGCTGTTTCTACAGAAACAGTGAGACCTTTTCTGTGAGCTGACAGTCTGATGAATTAATAAGCACAGTAAGAACTTACTTCTTTCAAATTGTACAGAAACAGAATTTTGTTCAATGTCAAACAGAGTCCTGTTTCACTAAGAGCAAAGTGTTGGATGACTGATGAACTGAGGAGGCTGAGGATAAGCCACTCATCTGGACAAACATATGAATACATTAGAAACACAGAGAGGAGAAGAGGCAAAAACAAATTAAGTGTTGGTTGAATTAACTGCCTCCAACTGCACCGAAGTTGTTTATTAGGTTTAAAAGGTTATTTTATGTTAACACCACGTTTAAAAGTGCAAATGCTCATCTGCTGAACATTTTAAATTACTGTTAAATTATTTAGCCACTGCCAACTGCTCACATGATGCATCCACAGCAAGGGATTTCCATTTCTGGTACTTTTTCAGTTTTTTTGCTTTCAAGCAAAAATAGATGGATAAAAACTGGGGGTTTGGGGGAAACTTTTGTTGTCTTATAGGGTGGCTTTCACACCCGTAGTTTGGTTCTATTGGCCCAGTACAAAAGAAAAATAAATAAATGAATAATGTGCTTTTACCTCCTAGTTCTAGTGTGTGTAACTAATGTCTTGGAAATGTCCACAAAAGCTACATGTACTGTACATGCCAGCTGTACTTTCACTTAC